GCAAAAAAATTCAAGATGCCCTATATAATGCCACATATAACTTCTCAGGTCCTTCGTTAACCTGAAGAATTCAAAATATCAGTTGAGCATGAGGAGTAGTGTACTTGTGTGAAAAGGGGGCAAAGATTATGGTTAGGCCTGAGGTGTGTGTGTGTGCGTGTGTGGTTCACACACGCACACACAGATGTTTATGTGTTTTTAAGTAAATAATGACATGATCATTAAAAAAAGAGATGATCTGGGACACGTGGGTGGCTCAGTCGGTTAAGTGTCCGACCCTTGATCTCAGCTAAGTCCAGTCTTAATCTCAGGGTCATGAGTTCAAGCCCCATGTTGGGCTCTATGCTGGGTGTGGAGTCTACTTTAAAAAGAGAGAGAGAGAGATGACGTGATAACCCTTCTGAAGAAATTATCTGAAAGCTAGGAGAGATCTTTCTGTGGGAAGTTTTTCTTTACAGTAGAGAAAATAGAGCACAGCAAATTAAACAGATTAAAGACCTAATGACTGGTGTTCTCTAATATTAATAAAGGAAAATACCAGATTGGTACCAGGTTTTTTTCCTAAAATTGTTCTTTTACAAAAACCAGTATTTGCTTTTGCTTTGGGGCTGAACTAATAATATTGCTTAAAAAAATAAAATGATGCAACATCTGGAAACTCTAATTTCAAGATCATTCACCAAACCCAAGAATGACTATGAGAAAGAACAGGGACCGAGAAGAGGAAGATACTCCACTGATGTTTAAAGGACAGAGTGTGGCGTGTCCCACGTGCTGCCATGACTTTTAGAGGGAATCTGGACTAAATAAATCCTCAAGTCATTGTTTGTGCATAACACCCAGTGCTCCATGCAGAACGTGCCCTCTTTAATACCCATCACCAGGCTAACTGTAATATGACCTACAATTAGGTCATATTGAAAACACTATTCAAAGGTGTCAGGAGAACCAAATGCTATTTCCTAGAGCACAAAGCAAAGGAGCGTGTGTGCGCGTGTGCGTGCGCATGTGCGTGTGCACATGTGCATGTTTTAATCAATTCAACACTAGATGGCTCTAGTTACAAAACCAATGCGTTTCACAAGTCTAAAATCCTGAGATGCGATAGCAGAGAACAGACGGATTCTAACCTTGTAGATCAAATTCTGCTCTCTTCCCAAGTCTTAGAGGGATTAAGAGCAGCACCAAGCTTTCGGGTTTAAAACGCTGGGCACCTCTGAAAGAGCAGGCTTACCTCCTCGAAGTTCTTATTTCACAGATTCAAACTCAGCACTGACATAGCCTTGAGGATGTAGGTTTAATTTGCTCTGTAATTATTCCACTCCGCGCTCTGATAGTACCCTAGTATTTTCAAATCACTTTCACATATGCCAATTCATTTGACCCTCTCCATAACCACGGGGGAGATGTTGTCCTCATCAAAGGCAAGGACACTGAGACTCACACAAGGGGCAGAAACTTGCTCAAGGTTACTCCTGTGTGATAGGTCATAAGTGATACAGCTCATAAATGATAACGTTAGCACTGGATTCCCCAAGTCCCAGCTCCTGGCTCCGAGTTCTTTCTACACCATAGACAAGAAGAGAGAATTAGACGTTCGCCTATATAGTGTGTCTGGCATGGCCCTTTCATTTTTAAGAATACTCCATTCCAATTCATTAAATACCCCCATTAAATACCCAAAATGTATTTTGAACTCTTAAGAAATTGAGAACAGTGAAGAAATCTTTTTTTTTTTTTGAGGTAGGAGAGGGAGAATTTTGGCTAGGAGGGAAACTTCTTGCTATTGGTACTCTTTGGTTTTTAATTACATTTGAAGTTTTTTAAAGCTTTATGTTTTACCTAAACCATCAGTAAATAATCAGTGCTTTTTACCCAAAAATTCCAGCTCTGCAGGGTGGCAAAGTCAGTTGGATATTTAAGGCAAGATTAGTTAAAATCCATAAGCCAAATAATTCACATGCAAATGATTGCTGAAAACTAGCATTTAATGAGCATTCACTATGGACCACTCTGCATATTTCTTCCTTCATCCATTCTTTCTTGCTCCAGTTCCACCAACCTAATCTCAACCACCATTACTTGCCACCTCTCTAACTGGTCTATCAAATACTTCACCTGCCTCAAATCCAAATCTCTTTTATTTGAATATATATGTGAATAAATGACTCTAAGACAAGCACATATTGATTTTTTAAAAAGGAAAGAGGTAGGCAATGTTATCCCACAACAATTTATTCTCAACCTTACAGCCAAAATATACAAGTAGATCATGTGGTTCGCTTTCTTAAAATCCTTCCAGTGACTTCCCATTGCCTGGGGACAGCACTGGAAGTCTGTGGATCCAGTGTCTTTCCCTCACTTGCCCCTTACACCTGGCCTTCTATCAGTTATCTGAATGTGCCAAAGTCATTCACACCGTGCTATTTCTACCTGCAGTAATGCCCACCTTCGCGCCTACCCCCTTCAGGTCTCGGATGTTCTGGAAGTTTCCTCAACTCCCTCCCAGGTCCACACTAGCTTAGGTCCCTATGTTGAAAGCTCTGTTTAGCATCCTGTACTCCTCTTTTGTAATACTTATTCCAACTCTATTTAATTAAGTATTTTGGGGAGTATTTGCTTAATGTGTATCTTCTGCATCCAGTTTGTCAACTCCTGAATCCCCGAAGACTAACATACTATTTTGAAGCTTTTAAAATCGTGCTTCACAACAAATTTTAGATCATAACCAGTACACACACAAAAAAAACAGAAAAGTTTCATGAACATGCCCCTTCTGCATGCAATTCACTTGATAATTTCTACTCTGTTTTAAAAATGTTGGCTACAACTCAGTTTATTGAGTTTACAGCCTGCTAATAGATTCAACCCTCATTTGAAATAACCACTCATCTAACACAATGCTCAGCAGATAGTAGGTCCTCGGTGATCATTTATAGAACAGACAAATGAAAAAATACTTACCAGCTACTACTTAAAATGATTTGTTTTTGTTTGCATTGGATAACGGTTGACTGATTATGGCTTTGTCCCTCCCTGGAGAATGGGGCCCCAGAAGGGCTAACCCCAGCCATTCTGGGTACAGTTATTTCCCTTGACTGGACTGATGGGATCAGGGTCATGGGGTGATTTCCCCTTGTCCCCGTGCCACAGACTGTCCCCTTAAGTACCCTCCAGCAAGAGAGATTGTTCATTATTTCCCTGTTTACTGTGGACTGTTATATCCCTATCACTGCAAAAAGAGAGGATTTAGAAAATAAAAAACTTTCCAGCAATATCCTAATGACACCAAATGCATTACTGTCTTTGCTCTTATGATTCATATGTCAATTGTCCCATTTAATTATCAGGCTTTAGGGCTATTTTAACTTATTTTTGAACACTTTGGTTTAACATGAGTACAGCCCTATCTTGTTGAATGCCAGGACCCCTCAAATAAGAAACCAGTTCTTTTTATTAACTAGTTAATAAATGCCTACTTGTACCTGTTGCGTTTTTCTGTTTCCACCAGACACCTAAAATCCCGGGCTTTTCTCCTCATCTCTACTTCTCACCATCCGGCACCTACCTTGCAATATGACAAAGAAAACCCTCCCAGGACGGACAGTTTTAAAATATCAACCATTCTCTGCAGGACCAGGCAAAGTCAAGGTCAGGATTCCCCATCCATGTGGGAACTGTTGGAGCCCAGGCTGAGCTTTCTCCGGAATAACCAGGGAAACTACTCCATGGGGGGTCCGGTCCCAGGGGCTTGTCCAGGGGTGTGTCCTTCATGCAGCAGTGCAGCTACAAGGAGCTTGAGTCCTCCCCCTCAACCCCTGCAGAGCTCACTCCCAGGGCACAACTCCAAGGCATAGTGTGTGTTCTGTCACCCCTGGTCACGCATCGATTTGGGAGAAGCGGAAGCAAATCAAGGCTTCCACAAGTCTGAGAACTGAAAACTGGAAGCAGAACGAACATTCCGGCAACAAGCTTTACATCCAGCATTTTAGATTCCCACGTGCGTGTTTGACGCCTCTTCCTCTATGTCCATATTCTGGAAGGATTGTTCATTCTGCACTTTCCTGTGGCCCACGTGCTTCTGTTAATAGTTGGCTCCTAGAAAATCAGACTCCTCTTATTTGAACTGAAACCAAGTGAGGGTAGCCTCTAATTCTAGGGGGCTGGTGGCTTCTAAACCCTTAAGCCAAAATGTACTCAAAATTGGGAGGGCTTTGAGTTTTTAAATTTTTTTTTAGGTGGGCTTTATACCTTTAAGAATTTCCTCCACACACTAGAGCTCTTACCAGAGAACTTAGAATCTCGAGGTTAGATCTTTGAAAATGTCACTTCCTTTATTCTTCAAGAAACACAGTTACCACTGAGGTTTCAAGCCATGAACTTCAAGCTTCGGATCTCCCGTAACCCAGTCCACAGCTGACAGTTACGCTTTCACAGTAATGGGCCCTCTTAAAATCCGTAGGAGCAGCTTGCATAAAAAAGAAGCCTGTTTTCCCACCCCAATCCGACCCTATTTACTTGGTTACATAAATGCTTTGGGTATTTCATTTTTATAAGCCAGCATTTATCTGCATACTTGACCTGAAACTCCACACTTTACTCCATGCAATACAGTGATATAAAAAAGCATGAAAAAAAAGGAAGAAAGAAAGACTCTCCCAAATTTACCTTAGCCTTCATATCCCTTTGACGGAACAGAAAACAGGGAAGCTCACATAAATAAAAGCATAGTTACCCAAACTGCAGCGAGTTCTGCTTTTTAAATACGTAACTCGCAAAAACAGCTTCAAAAGCATTATTCACATCAACTGTTTTTAAGGCAAAATATACTTTAATGTTGTAAACAAAGGAGCCTGGCTGTTTTGTAGATTCTGCGGGCTGTAGTGACCCAGTTATCTGGTCAAAGGGCTGTATGGATGAGAGGGACAGAGCGAGTTAAAGTTTAACTTTCAGGAATTGTAAACCAAACCTAAAGCCACTGAACCTTTGGAGTTTGATATGTTGATTAGAGCATAACCAGAGTGACACGTTGAATTCTCCATAATCAAGGAAACCTTTTCCGGGTGGGGATCTCTGATCACTCAGGTACAGTCCATGTGTTTTGCTTTTTCTTGCTTCAACTCTGTGAAACTGTGCAGTGTGGCTCAGTGGGAATGCAATGAGAAGAGCTTCTATCCTCTTCTATTAGAGAGCCTAATGCAGGGCACTTTCTGGCTGGTTTTTATACTAATGGAGCAACCTGAAAACAAGAGAATATATTGGAAGAATCATATAATCTCAGAATGAAATGGCAGCCATCTTCGGCTTCTTGATGTAATCAATTTCTGGGGCTAAAGAGTAGATTTACCGCCTTGGGTTCAAGAGCAGGGCTAATGTTTCCGAGAAGTTTATTTAGCAATGGCCAGATAGCTGGGAGCATTGTGGTTGACTGTTTATCCTGGTCCTAGGACCCCTTGGAAACATAAAAAATGTAATTAAAAGAGGAAAAGCATTAACATCACTGGCAGATTCTGACTTCTCTGTGTAGGTTGTAATTCCTATCATACCTTAGATTTCATATTTTCAACTCTCTCCTTCCCTCACCTTTGTCCTTCGCAACCACCCGAAACCAAAATCTAAAACACAAAAGCCCACAGAAAATAAACCCACCCAAAATCACCTTGGTGAATTCTTGCTATCTCATTTCCCAGGATCCTACTCACCAAAGGAATGCCTTAAGCTATTCGCTTTTCATTCTAGCAAAGAAAAAAAGAAAAGAAAACAAAAACAGACATGGAAAATGACTGGCTTTGAATGTGTTAAATCTCAACCTTGGGGATAGCTAATTATTAGATCTTTTTCTTGGGTTGGTTTGGGCAACCGTGCTGCTGTGGATATATTTTTCACATGATCATTTTGTTCACTCCAGAAAGATGATTCACAACCAAAATACGCTACGACTGTATCTTAAGGAAGGTGTCAGAGCACTTAACAGGAACATCCATTCTTACCAAAAATCTCTTAAACTCTGATTGAAATACTTTTGTTCCATGATTATGAAAACGAATTCCAAGGAGAATGGGCTCAAAGTTAAACAAGTGTATTTACGGTAGGACTGTTCAGATGTGTACTGTGTATCTTCAAGAAGGTGAGGAACACAGTATTATTTGTGCACTGTGCAGGTTTAGTGTTTTGCAAAATATACACTGACAAGCTCAACTTTTGTTAGAATTTAGAAGCTTCAAAGGTGTGTTGGTCTGGTCTGAAATATCCTTTATGATAATGTGCTGAAGCATATACGGTAGGAACATAAGTCCGGAGATAACAGTGCTTACTAGAATAAGAGCATTTACTTGTTAAAGGGCCAAGGCCTTCCCCTGCTAAATACAGAATAATAGACAAATGACATTGGTTCATATTTCAGGGCTATATTTTCTGGAATTATATTGATACTGCCCATTTGAGACAATTCTCACATTTTGCTGTTCCAATTTATTATTTGCCATGTGTAAGGGAAGGGGGAAGGGAATTGGGAAAAAGAAAGGGAAAAAAAAAAACTTAGTGGGCAGGGCGCCTGGGTGGCTCAGTTGGTTAAGCGACTGCCTTCGGCTCAGGTCATGATCCTGGAGTCCCAGGATCAAGTCCCACATTGGGCTCCCTGCTCAGCAGGGAGTCTGCTTCTCCCTCTGACGCTCCTCCCTCTCATGCTCTCTGTCTCTCATTCTCTCTCTCGCAAACAAATAAAATCTTAAAAAAAAAAAAAAAAAAAAACTTAGTGGGCAAATATGAATTGACAGGATGGATAGGAAAAATGCTGAATATTTATTTATTATTTTTAACTGGGCTAATAATACCAAGTTGTTTTGTGTCATTTCAAATATGACATTTCTTACACTTTATTCAGTGGACATTAATAATGTGGCTCATAAAAGGTGACCCTGTTGTCAAGTTGAGGAAAGTAGACACTTTAAAGCAGGTCTTGTTATTAGGTGGACAATACTAACAATGACAGATGTTGATTGAGCATTATATGGCCAAGCGTAGTCCTGAGCACTTTCCATGCATTCATCTATATTATTCTTAAACCAGTCCTATGAGGTAGATACTATTATAACATTTTACTAATGAGAAAATTGAGCAGGGATTAGTTACCTAGAAGGCTCCACATCACCCAGTTGGGAAGTAAAGAGCCAGATTCCCCAGCCAGGTGGTCTGACTCCGGAGCCCACACATGTCACCATCGTAAGTGTCCTCACAGGGACTGAGGATTTACTGTGTGTGTAAATGTATGCACTTCTAAGCATCTAGGACTGAGATGTTTCATTTCCTCAGCTTCATTTATAACAGAACATCTTTCAGGAACATCTATTAACATGTCTCTGAAATGGGATTCCTCAGAACACAGTTTAAGAAAGAAAAAATCCCTTTTAGAGCTCCCATCCAGCATTCATAAAACCAGAACCAACTGAAATCACCACAACTGAAAACATCTGAGGGACCTGATGGCTTAGCTGTCTTCCATCAAACAGGACCATGCCTCTCTCAGAGACTTTCCAGATTAATTCTAGAAAGAACAACAGACTCATCTCCTGACAGAGCGTGGCTGGAAGGCAGGTTCCCAAACTCCTGGGCTGTGTGGCCTCAGGCACACTACTTAACTTTCCTGAATCTCAGATTCCTGGAGTGTGCCATGAATCCACCCTGCAGAATTCAGTGAAGATTAAATGAGATGACATAGCAAAATAGTTAAAGCATCATCCCTGGCACTTGGCAGGAATTTGGCAAAACTCTCTTCCCCTTCCCATTTCTCTATTTGTAATCATCTCCAAAAAAATATCCTGAAACTTTCCAAACTTACCCATTAGCTGCTCTTTGTCAAAACTCTACTGATACAATAATAATAATAAAAAAAAAAACTCCACTGATATAGTAAATCAAAAACTACACGCAAATAATACAATCCTGATTAGTCACAGGAGTAAATGTATTCTTTTTATCCAGACAAAAAAACAAAACCTCTTATTTTCTTTTATTCTAAAAAGACAGCAACAACAACAACAAAACATAGTATGCTTTTATTTTAGAGAATGTTGCTCAAGGAAACTCTTAGCTAAATGCCCAATGCCCTTTTCTCTGAAACCCATGGGGCAGCCTGCGGTGGTGGGTGTTCATTTCATCACACAGCCAGTCGATGTTATAAATCTGTTTCAATAACTGTCTTTTAAAATCCTGTCATCCCTCAGCAAGCTGGGGAGTACGCTGGGTACCGTTGCACAATTGTTGTCATTACCTGATGTGTCTCTAAATGACTCAATCAGTTTAAACAAGACGGTACTGATCGATGGAGGATAAACACCATTTGATCTTATTCATGGAAACAGTAACCAGGCTCCTGTAAAGTGCAGTTCTAACAGTTCCAACGCCCCCCGGGGGAAAGCATCTGGAAAAGGATAAGCACCATTGCAGTGACATTACCTATTAGAAATCTAAACACCATCTGCTTCTTGGCAGATACTGTAAGATGCAGGAAGTTCTTAACCAATGATTCCTGCTGATTGGATCAGGAGAGCTGATCTACCATTGGAGTGCATCCAACTCAATCCAACCAGAATCTCAGTCTTAAGAACTATGTAGAATCTTTAACTTAATAAATTAAGGTTTTTGTGTTGAATATTTTTGATTCATCCAAACCAAAAATTTAAATATTTCCTTTTATAATCATGGCTGCCTTGACTAAAATATGCTGGTACTTTGAGCTCCCTAATTTGATTTTTTTAAGAATAAACTTAGCTTCTTTTTTTCCTTATACGGATATGTATGTGCAATTTTATCTATGTAGGGTATTAGCGACCATGTGGAAAATATTTTCCAGGTTTGTTTCTTCCAATAGGGCTCCGTCCCTGGTAATAGTAGGAGGAAGGGCATAATATGGACTAAGATAACCCCCTCCAGTCTGCAAGGGTATGCACAGTGTTCTGCCCCCAGGAACAATATGGCTAAGAGAATTTGCACATGACAATCTGGCCAGATGGAACGACTAAGTGAGCAAACTGGTTTGCAGTTCTATAAAATCCCAATTTCAGCGATGTAGTAATGTCTCCCCTTCTTCCAGTAGTTAAAAATGATCATTGTTTTGGGGATGCCCAACTGATTCAAAGAACACTACACTTAACACAGCAGAATTAACTACTGTTAATACCTTATTTCTATAGGATATTCTAGTTTACAAAGCATTTTAAACAGAAGCATCTAGACTTTTTAAAAAAGATTTATTTATTTGAGAGAGAAAGAGCATGAGCAGGAGAGGCAGAGGGAGGATCTGAAGCAGACTCCGCATTGAGTGCAGAGCCCAACGCAGGGCTCAATCTCCTGACCCTGAGATCATGACCTGAGCCAAAATCAAAAGTCAGACACTTAACCGACTGCACCACTCAGGTGCCCCTAGACTTTTTTAATGCCAAATTTCTTCATGGTCAATTCAGCATGCCTACTTTCTTCAAGGTAGCTCAGTCATTACAGCTCATTCCAGTTGTGCAAAGCTGTTAACCGCAAGATGCTCACGCAGAGTCTAGAAGCCCAGCTGGGCTCACGCAGCAGAGGGCGGATTACATAGGGAGCTTCACCTACTGTACTGGACATAACTGCCCCAGTGATGAGTAACTAAGAGGTTAGATGAAACTAGGAAGAGAGAGGGTGCCTGGGTGGCTCAGTCGTTAAGTGTCTGCCTTCAGCTCAGGTCATGACCCCAGGGTCTTGGGATCGAGCCCCGCATCGGGCTCCCTGCTCAGCGGGAAGCCTGCTTCTCCCTCTCCCACTCCCCCTGCTTCTGTTCCCTCTCTTGCTGTGTCTCTCTCTGTCAAATAAATGATAAAATCTTAAAAAAACAAAACTAGAAAGGGAGGATGAGAATCCCCATGGAAGGTGAGAGGAAAACTCGCCCCATAGGAGTCCCAGAAGGAAACGATCCTACAAAGATTCCGAGCATGGCACGTGAAAGAAGTGAAGGGAGGGATGCCGGACTATCTCCTGGAACACTGGCTGGGTGTTTGCAGGGTTTTAGGTATCAAGGCAATTTTCTTTCCTTCCTCTCAATTCACCTTTACATT